GTTATTGATTTATTCTTAATACAAATTGCGATTTTCGATTCTTTTCGATAAAGAATCAAAAACAATTTTTTTTTACGATTTGCAACTTGAATTACTTGATAATAAAAAGAGCTATATTGATAAAAATTGAATGCATTAATCGGCGGAATCGAGCTCTTTAAAAGTATCAAATTTTTAATATCATAGCTTTATTCGTTATTAAGTTATTTCTAATACAAGTTGAAATAATTGAAATGGGACACTTGCTTGACCTGGGACACTTGCTTGTCCTGACTGTGACCGAGAGCCCGCAGGTCACAAAGTCAGTGCACTGACTATTAGGTGCTAGGTACTAAGTAGGTGCTAGGTAGTACCCAGTACCTACAGTACCGCAAGAAACGCTCGTCTCCTCTTTTTTGTCTTTGCTCGGGGAGGAAGGGAGGGCGGGGGTTTTCCTTTGCCTTTGCCTTCGCTTTTGCCTTTACTTTGGCTTTGGCTTTGGCTTTTGCTTTCGTACCTTTCTTCATTTCCTTTCCTTTCCTTTGCTTTGCTAGTAGTACTTGTCAGTACCTTCCTTTCTCTGCTTTCATTGCTTCCCTTTCCTTTTCTTGCTTGCATGCACATGCACATGCACGAACACACAAACACAAACACAAACACAAACACGCAACACGCAACGCACAAACACAGATAAGCACAGACAGGCACAACCAACCCAACCCAACCCAACCACCCAACCAAGCAAGTAGTAAGTACAGTACCTAAACCCACCACCACAGCTACCTACCCACCTACCGTACCTAGGTACCTAGCCCATCCACGATCCTCCTCCACCCCTCGAAATTTCCCTCTGCGCCAGCGCCAGCTCCCATCTCATCTCATCTCATCTCATCTCATCCATCTCATCCATTCACCTAATTCCATTCCCTCAATCCCATTCATCCATCCCCTTAAAATCCAATTCAATTCAATCCAATTCACCCAATTCAATTTTAACCATCACAGGAAGAAGAAAGAAAGAAAGAAAGAAAGAAATAAATAAATAAATAAATAAGCTAACAGCTCACTTCACTCACTTCACCCAACCCAACCCACTTCACTCACGCAACTCAACTCAACTCAACTCAACTCAACTCAACTCAACTCAACTCAACCTTCCATCCATCCTTCCTTCCTTCCTTCCTAATTCATCCACATCCAAATCCAAATCCAAATCCAATCAATCTCCCCCTCCCTCTCCCCCTCCCTCTCCCCCTCCCCCTCCCCCTCCCCCTCCATCCCCCTCCCCGTCCCTCTCCCCGTCCCTCTCCACCCAACCACCCAACCTCCAACCACCAAAGCCAGACCAGGCCGAGAGAGAGAGCTGCGAAAGCAGAGAAGAAAGCAGAGAAGAAA